TTGTCCACCTCCCTGGCAGGAGGGAAGGAATGACTGCTCTTTGTTTTTGGTTCTGACTAAGCAGCAAGCATCAGAAGGGCGGCCAGCAGCTCTGTCTGTGCGTCAGTATCTTACAGGAGGAGGTTCGGACCCCTGTTCCATTCATCTGTCCTCAACAGGGGCAGACTGAGTGCGGTCAGACTCAGGTTGTTCCAGAAATGCTCTGGCCACCAGGGACTTGGCATTTCTCAGAAAGAAAGTCCACCAAGGGTCTAAGTTGGTCGCAGCCCTCCCCCGCTGCGGTTGGGGCCAACTGTCTGGGAAGGAAAAGGGCTACAAAAAAGAAATTGTCTAAAGGTGAACACACTGGGTGTTTCATTTCTAACTCTCCAAAGCTAGGTAGCTTTTTTCTTAAGGTATGTTCTTTAAGAGTTTACTACTTGCTACCAAGTAGAAAATTCTAACTGGCAGCTACATTTTCTGTGTGCAAACAAGACTCTTATCTCGGAAGAAAGAACAAAAGGCAGCTGTTAGGAAAGCCCCAAATTCTTTCTCATATGAAAGAAATTAAATTATGGGCTTAAACAGCTTTACAAAACATATCCTCTTGTACTGCTCAGCGCTGGACACTGCTCGCAGCCCTCTGTGTCACCTTCCATTTAGTTAATGTTCATCACTGTAATTACTGCGAACACACCATTACTGTCTGTGTTCAGCTTTTTTCCTTACTTACGTCGACCAATTTGCTAACTAATCAGATGTCCTAATTCATGGACAGTAGTATTATTTCTGTTTTTCACTGCCCCAGAAAATCACTAGATCTGTCACAGACTGAATGTTTGTGTTCCCCGGAACTCATACACTGAACCCCCAGTGGGATGGTACTTGGAGGTGGGGCCTTTGGGAGGCAATTAGGTTTAATGAGGTCATGACAGTGGGGGCCCCCATGATGAGATTAGGGCCCTTCCTTAGAAGAAAAGGCAGAGCCTTGAGTGCTGTGTGAGGACGCAGGCAAAAGGCAGCTGTCATTAGCTAGGAAGTGGGTTCTCCCCAGGAACGGAATCTGCTGGTACCATGATCTTGGACTCCTAGGCCTCCAGAAGTGTGAGAAATAAATGTCCGTGGTCTGAGCCAGCCGGTCTATGGTACTTTGTGACAGCAGCCTAAGCAGACCAAAGGCCAGGACCCCAAGTGCTATGAACAGCTGTCAGATGTCTGGCCCTCTGCTAGCTGGCCTCCCTGGTTTTGTTAAGAGAACCGAAGGTGGGGCCACACTGGCATCATGAAAGTTAGAACAGATGGGGGACAGGATTCACTAGCTTCTTTTTTTTTTTAACCATTTTTTTTAATAGGGGCTAGGTAATTAGGTTTATTTGTTTATTTATTTACTTACTTAAATGGAGAGACTGGGGATTGAAACCAGGACCTCGAGCACGCACTCTACCACTGAGCTGTACCCTCACCCCTAGGATTCACCTGCTTCTTGATCACTCTGGGAGGGCCAGGGGCTCTCCGGCTTCTGGGGACATGGCCTGTGGTGACAAGGCCGGGGACAAGATGGGCCCATCAGCCAGATAGCTTCAGAAAGGCAACCTAGGACCCAGTCATGTGGCGGGGACAGACGGGGGAAGGCCGTGCAGTTCAATCAGACCGACACCACCAGCCTCCCCGAAAAACCTAGCCTTTCCTGAGAAATTCCCCACTGGGTTCCTTTCTTTCCAACAGTGTATGTGGGAACATTCCAAACCTCCAGAGAAGCTGACAGAATAATACAATGAACACTCATACACCCCCTTCACCTAGACTTGCCGATTGTTAGCATTTTTCCATCTTTGTGCCCTTGCTTCACACACACCCACAATTTCGTGCATGTGTGGAGCTACTTGAATCATGACATGTCATCCTTAAACGTTTCAGCATGCATCTTCCTGAGAACTAGGACGTTCTCTGTATAAAAATCACAATGGCAGCATCAGTCAGGAGAGTGCGCACGGATCCAATGAAATGATCTAACAGACCCTTCATTTGAAACATGTCCCAATTAGCTCCAAAATATTCTTTACAGTTCCCCACCCCCACCCTGATCAGAATCCAGTCAAGGATGAGTCTTTCCTATTTCTTTAGTCTTCAATCCAAAAGAGCCTCCCAGCCTGTGCCACTGGCCTTACTGGAAGTCCCCACTCCGTTTCTGAGTAGATTGACAGCCCAAGCTCCAGGACGTCTGAGTCTTGGCACAGACAAAGCCACTTGACTCTAAGGCTATTGAATGACATTTGAGCCTTGGCCCAGGACCACGGTTGGGAATCCTACGAGACAGCCTTGCTGGAATCCACATCCCCGTTAGATAAGGGGCCTGCAATCCTAAAATCCCACTCTATACATCAGCACCAAAAAGCACTGTTTTCCGGGCCTTAAAAGGGAGCCGCTCTCCAGCTGAGGCTGTTGTTCTCCATAATTCTTTGTGAGGGTGGGGCATACCCGCCCCCCCCACCCCACCCATTAATCCCTCCCAGGGAAAGGACAAGAGGTTTAAGAATGCGACTCTCCCCTCTGCCGGGGCCTGGCTGGTCTGCCCCGCTGTCCTGCATCCCAGGCCTTCACACAGCTCGGTTCTCCTGCCCCTCGGGGTGCTTCCCACTGACCCACAGCCGCAGCAGAAGCTGCTTCCCTGGGCTCTGGAGCCGCCTCAGTAATCAGCTTTGTCGAGTCGCTTTGCGGACAGCAGCTGCCCCAGGCCTCCCCGGGAAGGGAGGTGATTGGATTAGCAGGGACGTGGTTAATGGAAAATGGAAGGGGGAGGGGAGAGGTGAGTTAAGTGCTACCCTCCTGGGGGACTGTGACTTCCGCTCACAGCAGCTGGGGCTGCCCGCCCTCCTCTCCCACTGCTGCTGTTCAGCTGTTCAGTTAGCCAGAGGCCAGGAGGATGGCTGAGGCCGTCACCGCCGCCTCCCCAAACCCAGACCTGGACCTGAGTTATTTGTCCCCAGCGGTTCTCCTGGCCTGCTGTACAGGATCCAGCAGGATGACAGAAGAAAGCACTGAGACCTGCTGTTGAAAATGCCCAAGTCCATTTCCAGATAATTCCTCAGCAGCTTCTTCCAGGGGAATCTTGCAACTGGGGAGGTGGGGACGTGGGGGGACAGTGAATATCCATGTCCCCCAGCACCTGGCCAAGGGCCTTGCGCACTCCTAGAGTTGAGGGGACTCGAGAGCTCAGAAGGGGCTGGAGACTTGAACCCAAAAGGGAAGAGGGAGACCTCCAAGTGAGGAAGTGGACATAAACCTAATCCTTGTGTTGGGTGGACCGTGTCAGGACAGGGTGTGTAGAAGAAGGACCGACGTGCAAGCCTCAGCCCTCAGAGTCAGACGCTCTGGCTGCCGGCATCAGCTCCGAGCCTGTGCCTGCCATGTGAGCCTTGGTAAGGTGCCTTGTCCCTGGAAGGCCCCACTCACCCTCACAAGCAAACTAGGGCTGCTTTTTAAACAACCACTAAAGCCCATTACATAGATATCATATTGCCAAGAGCCTAGAGGCCTTCTAGAAAGCTCCTTCAGAAGTGCTGTCACACAGAAGATCAAGATATGACTGAGCACCACTAAAGGACAATTTAAACTTCAGTCCAGATCCTGCCGCTGGGTGAAAAGGGGCCAGTGTGTCCACTGTAGGAGCAGGGCTGACTGAGAGCAAGGGGCAGCCTGAGAACAGCCCCTCCGCCTCTGCTGCTCCCAAGAGAATCCTAAATACGGGAGCAAACCTAACACATCGGCAAACATCCACCCCCTCCCTGCCATCACCACAGGTGAGGTTAGCAAGAACGGCAGGGCCTCAGTTTCATCTCATTAGGCCCGAGTCCCTGTCCTCCCTGGGATGGTGACTACAACAGGCCTCCTCAAGCTGGTCAGAATCTACTCTAATGACGCAATAGTCACCCACTTGTCAAAAGCACCTGCTTATAAATGCGTTGTAACAATCACTCAGCAAAGAGAAACACCTCTGGCTGGCCTCACTGGCCTTCTCCTCCCCGCAAGGGTTCTCTCCAGTGTAAACCATTGCGTCCAGCAAAATTCGGAGTGGGCACTGCAGACACGCTGACGAGGCACTAAAGAGGCTCGCTCACGGTTCCCCTGTCTGGGCCATCCTCACTTCCAAGAAAAGTAGTCAGAAGGAGGAGTTCTGATCAGGCTCGGGACCCTCGGGGGTGGTGCAGAGGAGCCAAGGGTGCCGATCCTGGGAATGTGCGCGGCTTCACACCTGGGAAGTAGGCTTCCCATCTAGAGAGATGCATCAGAAAAAGTGTCCAGGGCTAGGCAGGGGTTGCATGCGAGCTCCCAGACACCTCTTTGGATATCCTGAAGCAAGACGGTAGGGTCAGGGCAGGGCTGCTGGACTGCAGGGATGGGCTTGGGGCAGAAGCAGGAGGGCGGGTCTGGGGCACTCGGGTGCCCTGTAGGAGGGCCTTATCCAGCCGGGTGCACACCGATCCGCAGCCGCAGGGGAGGTGTGCCAAGCACTGGGCAGTTTGAAAACGACAATAAAAAAGATTGCAGTTGTCCTACCGGATGGGCTTCAGACATAAATGACTCAGGAATCTGGATTTCAAATTGGCCTAAAAGGAGAAGGCTGCTTTCCTTTTTGTTTTTCCTTTAAGTGTTATATTTTTCACTATCAAGACAACTGTCACTATTGCAGTCCTTGAATGGAGACACACACACGTGGATTTGGGAACCCGTCGGCCAGAGGGTGAGGGTGAGGGTGAGGGGTGGGTGTGACCCTGTGCCTGGAGGAGAGACCCCGAAGAGCTAGCCAGGCGACAAAACACAACTCCGACAGGCGAGGAGACACTATGGGGGAGGGAGGTGAGCCTGCACACCGGGACCGTCTTTTCCAGCCGGTCGCCGGCTCTGCCCTGCCTGTATAGGGACCCGGTTCTGAGCTCCGCGGTGGGTGGCAGGGGGCGTCGAGCCGCGGCGGAAACCGGGTCCCGAGGTGGGGAGGGGCGCCCAGGAGGGCGGGGACGTACCTGTTTGGCCTCGGCGGCCTGCTCCTCTGCCTCC